AGAGTGAGACTCCGTCTCAAATAAATAAATAAATAAATAATAAAATAAAATAAAGGCACAGCCACGATGCCCTCTAGGCAGACATCTATAAACTGCACCCCCTCCTCCTGCCACTCATCCAGGCTCCCATCTCAGCCTTCTGTTGTCCTCAGAGCATAATAACAGGTTGGCGTGGAGTAGCTGCCAGGATGCAAGTCGTGTGGCACAGATGTTCCAGCTGTCAGGTGAGCTGTCATCATTGGCATCCTCACAGCTACAGCTTAATAAGGGCCTCCTGAGCACCAGGCCTGGGCTGTGCCCTACCCAGGCATTTGATCTATCATTATCCCCATTATCCAGATTAGTTAACTGAGGTTCAGAGACATGGAAGGACCTGGGTCACGAAGCTTGTTTAAGGCCCTGATTAGGCTCCTAATCCACTCCCTGGTGCTACCAGGGAGAGAGCCTGCTTGTTCCCCATGCGTGCCTCGAAGGTTCCTCCCCGCAGCATCCACACGGCCCACTCTCTGATCACCACCTTCACAACAGCAATACCACCATACGCCACCCCTGCTTCCTTGCTCTGCAAGGCACACCATCCAACAGGGTCATCATTATTGGCTTATTTGCATATTGTCTTTTTCCACTGAATTGTCAGCCACATGTGGGTAAGGACTTTGTCCATTTTACTCACTGTTTTATCTCTGGGGTCTAGCATAGTACCTGGCTCAACAAATATGCATTTAAATGGATGAGTAGAAGCCAGGCACGGTAGCTCACGCCTGTAATCCCAGCACTTCGGGAGGCTGAGGTGGGCGAATCACAAGGTTGGGAGTTCGAGACCAGCCTGGCCAAGAGACCAGCCTGACCAATATGGTGAAACCCCTTCTCTACCAAAAATATAAAAATTAGCTGGGTGTGGTGTCAGGCTGTAATCCCAGCTACTTGGGAGGCTGAGGCAGGAGAATTGCTTGAACCTTGGAGGCAGAGGTTTCAGTGAGCAGATTATGCTATTGTACTCCAGCCTGGGTGAGAGAATGAGACCCCAACTCAAAATAAAAATAAAAATAAACGGATGAGTAAATGAACAGTCTCCAATTCACAGGCCACTTTGTCAGCAGTGCCCCCACGCTGTTCACAGCACAGGGAAATGACTTGCTGACTCCCCGTGAGCACAGAGTAGGCTGGCCTCCCCTTCCTAGCCTCCACCATGAATACTAATTAGATTTCTTAAATGCAGAGGTGGACGACTGAGTTCAGGGCCCCATGGTCTCTCTGTGTGCAGGGGTAAGCAGGGTAGGATTGTAGGTGCCCTGGATTCGAATCCCACTGTTTTATGCTGTTTTACCACCATCCTGATGGGTTGGAGCAAAAACTTCCACTCTCTAGGATAAGAGCTTCCAACTCTCCCAACAAGGGCCTCCCAGGTTTCAGGGCCTCTGCACTTGCTGGTCACTCTGCCGGGCATGCTCTTCCCCGGATCTGTTTGCTGCTAGCTCCTTCTCATCGTTTCGATCTCTTCTCAAATGTCACTTCTGCAGAGAACCCCCAGACTCCTCCCAAGCCAATGTGAACTTTCCACACCCACACAGATACCTTTTTTCACACTCTGTTTATTTCCTCCATCCCTCTTACTATGAACTATTTTCATTTTTACTATTTCATGTATTTGTTTATTCATTTACTGTCTGTCTCACCAGCCTGATGCAAGATCTATGAGGGCAGAGGCCTTGGCTGTCTTTTCGTTGCTGTATCTTCAGTGCCTAGGACAGGGCCTGGCTTCTAGCAGGTACCTAGTAAATATTTGTTGAATTCATGTTCCATCTTTCCCCTTCTACAAACAAGGAAACTGAGGACCAAAGGAAGAAAGGGACATGCTGGAGATTAGAGTCAGGACCTAGAGGTAGAAGGCAGCAAGGTGAAGGGGAACTCCGGGTCAGGAGGCTGTGACCTCAGAGGTGGCACATCTGCTCTCCAGGCCTCAGTTTCCCCATCGGTAAGATGGAGTAAAACAGCCATGACCACTAACTATCCAAGGGTTCTGGTACTAGGAGTGAGGCCCCACCCGTGACAAATATATTCTGCGCAGCACCCGCGCACCCCAGATACTAAGGCACCTCGAAAGCCGCAGAAGGTGAAAACTACAACACCCATGGTGCCCCGGGCGGCGCCTGCGCACGGCGTCCCGCCAGCAGCGCCGCGGGCTCCCCCTAGCGGCGCCTGGGAGCGGCGCCCGCTCTGATCCCCGAGGGGCGGGGGCCCCGCGGCGCAGGCAGTCGGGGCGCGCGGCTGCAGCGGCGGAGCCCGAGCCGGGAGCGGGAGCGGCAGCCGGATCGCAGCCTGCGGGGCCCGCCGCAGCCATGGGCAACCGCGGCATGGAAGATCTCATTCCTCTGGTCAACCGGCTGCAGGACGCCTTCTCTGCCATCGGCCAGAACGCGGACCTCGACCTGCCGCAGATCGCCGTGGTGGGCGGCCAGAGCGCCGGCAAAAGCTCGGTGCTCGAGAATTTCGTAGGCAGGTAGGCGCAGCGCGCCCCAGGGCGCCGACCCCCGGGATCCCTGGAATCCCCACCCGGGACACCGACGGTGCGGCGACCTCGCAGCCCCCGACGCTGCACTCGCGGCCGGCGCGCCCCCCACCCCCAGCCGGAGCGAGGCGGCCCTCCCCCCACCGCGAGAGCCCCTGGGGCAGCAGCGCCCCCCGGCTTAGTCTGCAAACGTCTCCGGCTGCGGAATCACGCCCCCTCCTCCGCCCCATCCTTTAGGGCAGACAGCGCTCTGCCAGAAGCCCCGGGCAGAGGGTTGACCCCCACCCCCAACATGGGCACGGAGAGAGCCCTCATTACTCAGCGCCTCCGTTGGGCTTGGGGAGTCCCTTGGAGCGGGCAGCACCCGGGGGCAGTGTCCCCCACACCGGGCTCTATGGGGGGGACAGCCCTCTACCCCCATGGGAATTCTTAAGCTGTGGTGTTGGGGGGGACAGCCCCCACACCCCGGCCCCTAGAAGAGGACGTAGTCCTCTGGGCATTGAGGACCCGGCACAGCTTCCCCCGGCACACACACCTCTGCGGCTCCCGCCGCCATCCGTGCGCAGCACAGTGGAGGGGGAGGCGCGGGCTGCAGGATGAGGAAGGGAAGAGGGGAGGAGAAACCACTTCTGATCCTTTTCTGAGCAGCCGGCCCCTTGCTTCTCCGTGGCCCCTGGGTGGGGGGCGCCTGTCAGTGTCGCCCTCCGCTTGGCCTGGCCAGAGGGATTGTGATGAAGGGAGAGGCGGCAGAGGGCAGAGATGACTAAGACAGGGATGGCGGGAGGGGGGAGCCATTTGCAGAACCTAATCCCCCTCCCGCCTCTGATCCCACAAGGCGCTGGGAGGCCTAGGTGGCGGAGAGGAGAGCAACCGCAAAGACAAAGGGTCTTGGGTTTAGGGGGGCAGTCAGGGTCATGACCCCCAGGCTCCCAGGCACCCCCAAAGGGAGGCAGAAATAGTTTTTCTGGTACTGATGAGAGGAAGGATAGGGGCTCTCCAGGTACTGGAAGTGGGATGGGGGGCTGGGCAGATTGGGGGAGGAGGTGAGAGGGTTCACACTGACCTCTCCCCTTTCATCTCCCCACATCTTCTTCAGAAACCCTTGCTTTCTTCCAATGACCTTCAGGGCCAAAAAAATGACTGGCACATGGGAGAGGGAGGCAGGGGCCCTTCTCCGCAGAGGGACAGCAGTTCTGTCCAAGCCAGGTTCTGCTGCAAAGTCTCAGGCAGGTCACTTGCCCTCTCTGAGCCTCAGTGTCTCTGTCTCTAACGTGGGCAGTGGAACTGGGTGGTTGTTCCTGCCCCTCAAATGTCCTGGGAAACCCATGCTAGCCCTAGAGGTGACAAGGAGAGGGCCTGCCTGGAGCCATGTATGTGTGGGATGTTGGAAGGCCACCGTGGGGGCGGCCGTGCCCATCTGGTCAGCAGAGGGGGAGGCACCCCCTTCTGATCACATGACCCCCCAACCTGCAGAGACACAGGCAAGAGACACAATGTGCCCCTTCCCCAAAGCCCGGCAGTCAGGGATACCCAGCACTTTAGAGTGGACAAGCCATATTCCTCCCTCTCGTCCTTTGAATGTTGGCTGAACTCCTGCTCCATGCCAGGCTGTGTGCTCCAGGCCTGGGGTAAGAAGGGTACCAACTGGTGAATTCAGCCCCCGTCTATCGAGCCCATCCCATGCAGCCCCTATGCTGAGTCCTTCACAGGAGCTACCAAGAAGCACGTACCATCATGCCCATCCTACGGATGAGGAAACTGAGACCCTGGAGGTTAGGTGCCTTGCCCAAGGTCACACATTCAGGAAGGGCGGCAGCTGTTAGACTCCAAACTCCAGTTCCCGATCTCGAGGCTGCCCATCCTCTGAAGGTCACTTCAGAGAGCAGGGCCCTGCACCGGGCACAGGGACATGCAGGTGGGTGGGCCTCCACTTCCCCATCTGTGGGAGGGGGACACTGACAGCCGCTGCCCTGCCTTCCTGAGAGGGTGGCTGTGGGCTCCACCAAGTTCACGGGTGGAAAGGAGCTTGTGTAAACATGCGGGAGGGAGCGTTGATAGCTGATTAGGCTTGGGGACTTCTGCGCCTATCCTCTGCCCTCCTGGAGCCCATGGCGCAGGGGCCAGCCCTGGCCACCGCAGACTTCAGCAAGTACTTGCTTGTTGAGTGGCAGAGCAAGGTATGGTCTGTGCCCCAGGAGGCCTGGGCCCTCTGGCTGCCCTCTGTGCCCCAGTACCCTTGGCCGTGATCCCCGCAGGAGGATGTGCAGGGTGTCCAGATGCAGGGGAGGAGGGCTTAGCTCGATGTGAAGGAGTAGGCGGGAAAGCATTCGAGATCCCCTGAAAGCTAGTGAGAAGGCAGGGGAAACTGAGGCTCAGTGGGCTCCCCCCTCTCAGCCTGCCTGCTCCCTCAAGGGCTCCTGACCTCTCCAACAGGGCTCAGTCCCCAGACTGGTGAGCATGGTAATAGCCACTCTGTCTCCTGGGGCTTCCCAGGAGCCAATGCCCTATGGAAAATGCATCAGAAGGAAAATGCATCAGGGCTGCTCTAGGCACTCAGGAGGATCCTGCTGTCAGCTCTGCAATGGAGGTGGCCTCGCAGCTGCCCGGGACGCTGCTGGAACTTGTCTGGGTCTATGCTATTTCTTCACCAACGCCAATTCATTCAGTCATTTAGCAAACATTTGTGGAGGGTGCATGATGTCTTAGCACTGGGGATTCTATGGTGGAAAAGACAAGGCTCTGCATTCCAGAGGGAGAAACTCAGAAGACAACTGGAAAGTGTGGTCAAAGTCAGGGAAGGGAGCGGGGCTGCTCTCCCCAGGGAGGTCAGAGGTCTCCGGGAGGAGGTGGCATCTGAGATGAGAACCGAGGGATGAGAACCTGTGTAACTCGCCAGGGGTGGGAGAGTTCCTGGCCAAGGGAAAGGGCAAAGGCCCTGGGGTAGGAAAGAATTTGGTGCCTTTGAAGAACAGAAGGAAGCCCCAGTGGCTGGTGTTTGACTAGCAAGAACCTCAGGCCATGAGGAGCCAGGAGTTTGGGTTTATTTTCACTCTTGTGGGAAAATTTCAGTAGTGGAGTGACTTGGGTGGATTCTGTCAAGGGTGNTCGCCAGGGGTGGGAGAGTTCCTGGCCAAGGGAAAGGGCAAAGGCCCTGGGGTAGGAAAGAATTTGGTGCCTTTGAAGAACAGAAGGAAGCCCCATAGGCAGGGGCTAGATCTACAAGCCCCTCAGGCCATGAGGAGCCAGGAGTTTGGGTTTATTTTCACTCTTGTGGGAAAATTTCAGTAGTGGAGTGACTTGGGTGGATTCTGTCAAGGGTGTAACTTGGGGAGGGGGTGAGGGAGAAGGTGAGAGACCAGTGAGGAGGCTGCTGCAGTGGGCAGGGGCTAGTCGGGGGCCTGGACCAGGGTTTTAGCTGCAACAAGAAGGAGAATGGTGGGTGGGTTTCAGGATATATTTTGGAGGAAGTCCCGCTGGTGGATGGATGTGGAGGGTGGGGAAGGAGGAATCAATGATGACTTCTGGGACTTTGACCTGAGCTCCTGGGTGGGTGTTGGTGCCATTAACAGAGTCGTGAAGAGTAAGGAGGAGCAGACTGGGGGGACGGGGGAAGACCAGGGTTGGGTTCTGAACATATTGAGCCTGAGATGCCTGTTAGACTTCTAAGTGGAAGATGTCAGCTGGCAGTTTGGTGATGCAAGTCAGGAGCTCAGGGGGAAGGCGGGCTGGAAAGAAAAATTTGGAAATCGTTGGTGTAGAGATGGGATTTAAACCTGAGAGCAGATGAGCTCATCCCGGGGGTAAGTGTAGACGGGGGAGTGTTTGTGGACGCAGCACAGCCTGCCTTTCATGAACAGATGCCTGGTGCCCTAGGCCAAAGGGGCCTCCTTGCTGTCTCTCCAGCTCCTCTTTATCACCCCCGCCCCACTACACGCCCCCCTCCGCCAACAACACTCCGCCAGGGCCAAGAGTGGGTTGTCCTGGGGCGGGCCAAGGCCGGCGGGAACGTGGCAGAGGGGCTGAGAGCATGCTCTGAAGTCAGACCTGCTGGGTTCGAAGCTCAGCTCTGCCACTTACAAGCAGAGAAACCCTGGGCATGTTCTCTAAACCCCACCCAGCTGCTATTTCCTCATCTGTAAAATGGGGATAATAATAGCACATCCCTTGTGAGATGATGGTGAGTCCATGAAGCATTCAAGGAAGGGCCTGGCATAGAAAATGTGCTGGTTCTCTTCCTGCCTGGGCATAGACAGGCAAGCCCTCTGGGATGGTGCGGGCTGGGAGGTGCATTAAGATGGAGGCACGGCGGGGGACCTTCTCCATCTAGGGTAGGGTTGGGGTCCTGGTGAGGGACCCTCTGCCCAGAGCCCAAGGAGCAGCCTGTGGGAAGGGTTTCCCCGTGACTCTGCCTACCCCCCTCCCCCAGGCTTCCTGCCTTCTGCAATGTGCCCTTGTCCCTTCCTCTGCATTCTTTTTTTTTTTTTTGAGACAGTCTCGATCTGTTGCCCAGACTGGAGTGCAGTGGTGAAATCTCATCTCACTGCAACCTCCACCTCTTAAGTTCAGGTGATTCTCCTGCCCCAGCCTCCCGAGTAGCTGGGATTACAGGTGTGCACCACCACGCCCGGCTCATTTTTGTGTTTTTAGTAGAGTTGGAGTTTCATCATGTTGTCCAGGCTGGTCTCAACTCCTGACCTCCGGTGATCCACCCACCTCAATCTCCCAAAGTGCTGGGATTACAGGTGTGAGCCATGGCGCCCGGCCCCTTCCTCCACATTCTATCCCAGCATGGGCATGGTGCTGGTCTCTGGCCTCTGAGAGCCCCTCTCTTTGTTAAACCTAGCTTTTCCCAGGGGAGACAGCCCACTCCCCACTGTTAAGTTCTGTCTCTTCCTCCAAACATGTTGGGATGCATCATAGTGGTCCCATTTCTCAGATTTGGAGATAGAGGCCAAAGAATATTAGTGGATAAATGAGACATCCTAGGCAGA